TAACATTTCCTTCCCCCAGCATATCACTGTTCATGCTGTTTAGACCCCCTGACCTTTTCCTTCCTAAAGATAACATCTAGGCCTCCGTTGTATTTCAGCTCCAGGCCCAGAAAAGCAGCAAAACCAGACAAGTGACGCCTCTGGCTGCCTCAGGACCAGCTGCATTGACTAATGACCCCCCCCTGGCACTGACCAATCATTGGAGACCATGACCCTGAAAGAGCACACCTGGAGAGCTGATGAATATTCCATCGACCCTCCCCTGAGACCGCCCCTGAGTCCCACCTGCCGGAGAGACACAAATACCCTCCACACAAGGGACCCAGGGTGTGCTCTCCCCCAGGGAAGAGCTCCTGGGCCGTTCCCTTCCCCTCTGCCTCCCTTCCCCCCTAAAAGACCCCACGAGACTTGCAACCAGGGGAGCGACGGGCAGAGGCAGCTTTTCCCGAGCTGACCCCCTGAACCTGTCGCTGTCCCCGCGCCTCTCTGACTTCCCAGTGAGCCAGGGCAGCCCCCCCTCGGCCCTCCCGTCGCTCCTTCCTTGCTGCACCGTCCCGAGTGTGTTTTTGCTGCGGCCCGTGAATTCTTGCTTGCTTTGCTGCACTTTGTCTCTTGATTGAAATCTTTCCCTCAAGGAGACAAGAGCTGAAGTCTCGTCCTCTCGCCAGTAACGCACTGGGTGCCCTGACCTGGATGGTTCTTACTGTGGCTCCGGTCGCTTCATCACTGGTAAGCCAGCCGTCCTCGCCACCTAGGCTGGAAGGACATGCCTCTCTGTGTTCCCTCCCCTCCCTGAATCTTTTCCTCGGGTCCTGGGGTCCCCCCCCCATTGCTGCGCTGTGCGGGGTGAGCATTTAAACGCGGTTAGGGAGCTCACAGCCAGACGACTCCAGTGACAGGATGAGAGGGTCCTGGGCCGGGGAAGTTGGCACTGGGCACCCCGCCAACTGCAAGACACAGCCCGCGCCGGGGACACTGTGGAAGCCCTCCCCCGGCCTTTCCCTCTCCTTTACTAGTTCCAGTGGAGAGAGAGGCTTCCTTGCCCTTGGCTGGAAGGATGTTCTTTCCTCTTTGTTCCTTGTGTCTGGAGTTAAAGTCAGGCTGCCTTTGAACTTTTTTTGAAACCCTCAAGGTGGAGCTAAAGATTAAGGGTTGAGAAGAACCTAGTCTATAGCCAAGGGTCACGATAACTAAGGACAGGAGAGAAGGGATGGCTGGTGTTTAACTTTGCCTTTCCACTTGGCAGTGCTTTCCGAGGGTCTGAACAAAACCTTTTACCACATGAGTGAAAGCTGAACTTGTTCAGTTCCGAGGGCGGGCCCATCCACCCTCCAGCCTGGGTCTCGGGTGTTCTTGGGCCGCGGAGAATCTCTGTGGAGATTTCAGAGGGTGTGTCTCATGATGTGCGGGAGCCCCATAGGGAATCCAGCTCGACTGTAATTAATTATTTGACTCATCCGGGGAGCACCCATCAAGGCTGGTTACCCAGCGCTCTGACTCCACGAGGCTGTTAGAAGCTGGGGGGAGAAGCCGAGGCCCACAAGAGGGTTTGAGACGACTCGGGAGCTAAAAGCTCCTCGGAGCTCAACCCCCAAACAGCACACTTTCAACCCATTACACCACATCCCAAGAAATTTGTGCGGACCCTACAAATCTCAAAACAAAACTAAAATCAACATGGGAGATTGTGCCTCTAAGGCTGCAAACTCCCAGCCGCCAGCCCCATTAATACTTCTTACAATTAACAGAAAGCCTTTACTTGCCAATACTTACAGAAATGGGAAAACTTAACTAGAAGTGATATCACCTGAAGGTGGTCCAAATGTAGTGCTTTTGATGCCTAAATTAATTTTTGCACCAAATCAGAAAAACCCAGCTCTAAAATGAAAACTCACTGAATGGGAAGATTATCTTGATTGGAAATTCAAGGCTTCTAGGAGAGGCGCAGGTAAACTGTACCCAGGATAGAAGAACCAGAAAGATCGGTCTTACGTGAGAGGGGAAACGGATTGTACACATTCCCTTATACTAGAATAGGAATTAAGGGTTCTGCCTAAAGATTTCTCTGACTTTCTCCAGGGCCCTGATGGGTTTGCAAAGGAATTTAATTGAACTGTTAGAAAAGCCAGGGCCATGTTCTCTAACGATTCCGATTCTGATTTCTGGGAGCCAAACAACAGAATTACTAAATAGAGTCTGCTGGGAAACTCCTGTAGAAGTCTGTTTTTCTTGTAGAGAGCCAGGTCGCCTAAAGAAGGGTTCTAGGAAACTGAACTGGGACAAAAGAGAGCCCCCGGGCGGAAGGTGGCAAAACTTTCTGCACACTGTTCGTCATCTCCAATGGGTTTGCCACTTTTTCTGGGAATTTCAGAAACGACTGGAAGGACAAGAGGTCAGGTCCTTGTCCCTGACGTCAGGGGCTGCCCTGCTAGGCCTCCTTATGCGTCACGGGAAATGGGAAAGATAAGAGACGAACTGGCAAGTTCAGTTGCTCAAGACTAGGGTGTGCACCCAAACCCAGCAACGAGGGGCTGGAGAGGAAGGAGATCCCATCGGTGAGCTTAGGGACGTGGTGTCTCACACAAGACTGGGGGCGGGTTACGTGGTAAGGCTAGCTGAGTCCAGAAATCGGGGTACGAAACAGGGGACAGTCTCCTTTGAACCCACTGTAGGGGGGCGGGATGCCTGTTTCTCCCCTACTCCCCTCTATTCTCTTCCAGATGGGAAACCAACCCTCTCTTCCCCAGGACTCTCCCCTAGAATGTATCCTCAAAAACTGGTCAAACTTGGACCCCCAAACTCTAAAGAAAAAGAGATGAGTCTTCTTTTACAGTACAGCATGGCCCCAGTACAAAGCGGGGACCCAGGAGGCCTGGCCGAAGGATGGAAGCCTTAATTAGAGCACCGTCCTCCAGCTAGATTTTTTCTGCTGTTATCAGGGCAAATGGGCTGAATTCCTGTACATCCAAGTCTTCATGGCCTTAAGGAACAACCCAGGCCTTCGTAAGACTTGCAGCAAGACCTGTTTTGCGGGTCCCAGGGGAATGGACAGAGGTCCCTGTACCCAAGTCTTCATGGCTCTTGGGGATGATCCTAAACTATGTACTACCTGTAAACCGCGTCTCTCTGTAATTGCTGCGGAGCCTGAAAGGAAAACACACCCAAATGAGAGAAGAAACGTTTCAAAAATGGGTGAATGAATTTATTTATCCATTGTTTGCCAACATTTGAGTGACAACCCAGTTCCTGAGATATCAAAAACCACAGTCCTTGTTTTACAAATAAAGTCTTTACAGGGCCAGAGGTATGGCTCCAGGAACAATTCGAAGCCTACCAAACCTCATCTGGACTAGCCTTTAAAATGCAACTTTCTAAGGGGTAATCCTTATTAAAAGGGGAAAAAAACCTTAGCCATTCAAGTGAATCAAATTAACTTATTTCAGCTGATAAACATTAATTGCTAGACAAAGCTGAAGTTCACCTACTTTTGGCCTTTTGTTATTAAAAAAACTAGAAAATAAATTTGGAACTATTAACACACGTCCTACACTTCATTAGGTATGTCTCTGAAAGGTATGAATGTGTTTGCTAGAAAAAGAGCCTATGTTTCTAGAAGTCATAAAATATACTTGCCAATCTAAACAAGACTAATTGCTTACTTTTAGCAGTTACTAAGATAAATTTTCTAAAAGTAAAGAATTCAAATTAAGTTGGAGGAAAACTATGGTTTAGTAATAGAAGATATAAAATATGATAATGCAGTTTTGAAGGACAAGAATCGAAATTGAGTTGTTATAAACTGGTTATTTCTGAACAGGTAAGAAGATTAAAACCCTCCCACCTTCTCCAGCCTTCTAAAACGTTATCAAACACAAATGAAAAAATCTTATGCCTTCTCTACAAAATTAGTGACTTGGATTATGTATATGGTCTTTATGTGATATGTGTTCGTCAGTGTATTATATGTGGTGTGTTTTCTGCCTCTGGGTAGCATAACCGGGGTGTAATATTTATTGGCCTGTAGAAATTAAATACTTATATAAATTAAACAGGATCCTGTGGTCTAGACAAAATATTTAATATTAACACCAGCTTAAGTTTGATTAACACCTTTTAAAGTTATTACCATATAATATATGTTAGTTTTATCCAGGTTTACAAAAAAATTTATGTTATAATCTGTTGGTTAAGTTTGTTTGACAACCTCCCCAAAGTTTAAATTTTAAAATACTTTTTTTAAACTGAGAAATGACTTTAAGTTATCCCAGTGGGCCCCTGGAATACCTTAAAGATTTGTTCTCTCTCCTCACAAAAGAAAACTTTTTGAGCTAATTAGGCCTATTTAATATGATTAAAATTACATCTGAAGCTTTGCCAAATAAAATAATAATAATAATAACTATATTCTATTTATATACATATATTTTTACTAAAATGGATGTTCTAAAATGTTCAGCCTGCTATAGGAAGGAACTTGCAAAGATTCAAAGCCAAATCAGACAGAATACTGTCAGGGGTAGCAGGTGTCCGGTCAGTGACACTAGGCAAGCCAAGAGTGATGGTTCCCTGTTGTGGGGGACATCAGGCAGTGACACTCCAGGTGTTTGTGATTAATACATTGAAAATTCATAAATTGTTTTCAATGCTCAATGCACACTTCCAATAAGCCATGCATGTTTTAAAATCTCACATATTATTTGTTCTTTCTATATTGAAATTGTGTGTTAAATCTAAACATATGGGTTTTATATTGTTCTTTTGTGTCATTTCATAATATTTACCAAGAAATGGTTATCTTGGAAAGTTATATCTTACAAAAAAAGCAAATTTCTTTATCAATTGCATTATAATCAAATCTATAACCATGTCATTTTAATTTTGTCATTTGCAGACAGTTATTGTTTTACTCTAATGCATTTGCAAATATGTTAGTTATGTCTTTGGAAGGGTCATAAAAATAACTCTGACTTACTCTAAATTACAGATTTCTAAGCAAATAATATCTTTAAACTAGATAAAGATTCATAAAACTCTAAGAAAGAAATAACTGAATTCATGGAAATACTGGCAAATAATCAGGATAAGCAAAAATTGGTTATATGGGATTAAATGAACTGAAAATAATTATTATTCTTATAACTTTGTTCAAGATGTTGATGATTTTAAAATCTTTTTGTTTTCCAGATATAAGGAAACTTGTTTTTTCCCTAGAGTAACTTGGCAAATAATGCCCTCATAAACAAGATTGAAACACTTATATTTCCCTCCCTACCTAATTCCTCCAGAATTTGGCAACTCTTAATAAATGAATATTATTTTCATGGCAATACGTTTCTTTGCATGAATTCAATAAGACCAGTTTCCAATTATGGTTTTATTAACCAAAACTTTGACTGGAATGGCATGTCTGAGAGAGGCATGCCTAGACTCTGGATGTTACTGGAAAGCCTTAAGAAATGAAGATTGACTTTAAAGCTAATAAAAACCCCTTGGAGAAAGGGCCTGGTAACTTGCTTGGTCAGTGGGTCAGTTGGCAGTCTTGCCAGGTAAGGAATGAAGGTTGCTTCCCCAAAAGATGGCAAGAAAAGAACCTCAGACATTTGGGGGACCTCAACAACTTGAGGAATCCACCCAAACCTATAGGTATTGCAGGCAAGGCCTAATGGCAACTGTGTGGCTTGGCTCCTGTGCTGAGGGGCAAATTAAAGCTCAATCTAAAAATTCCTTGT